TACAATACAACACTTATACGTAGTATAGTGTAGTAAGGTTCGTATCCAGAGGGAAAGGAATACTTTTCTTTTTAATTAAATTCTATTAACAAGGGGGTTTTTAGATTTGATTTGATTTGATTTAATTAACACTAAGATGAATGACTTATATAAGTTTAATTAATAGAGATAAGTACTTGGTTTTGCTTTTATCCACTTAATCAAATGTTCGTCGATGCCGGTTATATCTTTAACTATCTTCCTCTCGAATACTCAACCAAGGAGTATATCCAATTCATCGAGTGTAGTTATTAATAACGAGATGCGTTCATTAATAAAACTTACTAGTGAGTCAATATAGAACGCGCGCCATATATTAACCCGATAGTAGCAATAAACTTAAGATGAAAACGATTGAGATTGATAACCTCAACACAAGCGGTTTATTGGTTTAATCAATATAATTAATTCCCCTTAGATTATTAACCATGAGACGCATGCATTAATAATCCAAGTTTACTACCGTTAAACGAATCGAATTGATAACTAGTAGGGATTATTTTTGTGAAATTTATGAGTAGGGATTATTTTTGTAAAATGTGTAAAAGTATGAATTATTAGTGTCAATTTCACCTTTAAAAAATTGTAAGTTCAAATTTTAAAAACAATAAAAATATTGGCAAGTTTATACTGTATTTTCTTTTCATGGTTTTATGGTTATTGAGAAATTGGAGAAATAAATAAAAGATGAGGCTGGTGGGGAAAGTAATTGGAGAGAGTCGAAAATATTGGCGATGATGAACAAATAAGGAAGATAAGAGAAGGCTGAATGAATAGTACAATATGTGGGAGACGTGGGGGAATTAAAATATGGTCCGGGGGTGTAGAATAAGTGAGGGTACTTATGTCATTTGAGCTATTAATTCTTTCCTAAAAGAGAAAGGTTGCGATTAATTTGAAACTGTCAAAAAAGGAATGTGTTGCATTTATTTAAGAACGGAGGAAGTGTTTTCTTTTCATGGTTGTATGGTTTATTGGTTAACCGTTAGTTGTTAAACGATATTTCGGTAACCGATACGCGGTTAACCAATGTTATGGTATGGATAACAGTATTGAAAATTTAGTAACTGATATCTCGGTTAACCAAAAATTGGTTAACCAAAATCCGGTTAACCGACCGTGCCCACCCATAATTAAATGATATCGGGTAAATCCAAATTGGAAATATTCAAATTAGACGAACAAAATCATAGTGGTAATTACCCGCATAGTCAACTCTTATACTCAACATTTCATTTATGTCCACCTGCATAATATTTTTCATTTTTATCTTTCCTCTTTTCACTTTAGTTTTATAATTTCAAAAAGCGCCTAAAATTCTGTTCTTCAATCCTTCGGTTCTTCTTCCATATCTCTCGATCAATTTCCTCAACCATATCTCCCAGTCAATCTCAATATATCTTCTCTCATCCGTAATTCGATTGTCAAACAGATGCCGACTTTGAGGGTTGCCAATATTGTCTACAACTGCAGTTTGTTCCATTCGTTCAAGCCTAGCTCCAGAACGACAGATAATAATGAATAGCTGACTTCATAGCCTCAATTTGAACGACAGTCTAGTGTATCTGATAGAGACGTGTACACGAGAATGAACATTAATTACGATGAAAATTGTGGTGGTTCATCTTCTCATGAAATGGACAATGCGATTCTCCAATCATTCTGTATTCTTCGCAGTCTTACAACGGTTCTAAATTGATGACAATCGCCTACCACCTTCCTTTAATTTTGGTTATATTTATCCCTAACAGAGATTCTATTTACTCAGTCTCTATGTTAGCATCTTCAATATAATCTATATGTGTATCAGTGTATACTTATATGTATTATGTAATTCAAGCTTTCATTACAGATTCGAGTTTTTTTGGTGTCTTATCTATCAACAATGTGGAAGTTTAGATATTGATCGATGGACAACGAAAATGCAGCAACCGATAATGAAAATGAAACACAGCTGAGGTATTTGACGTTATTCTTTACATAGGAGCAATAACAAACTTATAAAAAGGCGGGACAGAGTTGAGGACATTTTAAAGGAAGCTGACGATAGTTTATAGGCATACAAGTTCATTTGTGCATAAGATTTACTCATGATTTTTATAGACATTTGGTGCTCCCTTATAGTATGAAAAGTTATATATAAATGGTTTAATCGAATTGTGAAGAGTAATGGAGAGGCGGCTTGCTAAGAAAGTACAAACGAGTAGGGTCACTTCTAAGGTTGCATTGTTGATTCAGCTCACACATTTGAATATTATTACTCAATCCTTTGTGAGTACTTATTTTGTTTGGCTTACTCACACATTTGAATATTATTACTCAATACTTATTTTGTTAGTACATATTATGTACCTCTGTATGCGTTCTAAGAGTTCACTTCTAATTTCTTCTTGTAACTTTATTGCTGCTAACATTGGAAAGGAAGAAATAGTTGTGTGTTCATTCATGCATTTATTTATTTATGTATTTTTTGTGGTTGATATTGTAGAGGTACATTATGCTGATATGGAAAAACATGGTCTTTATGGATGGACATTGACACCTGACTGAAAATTACATCATTTGAGGTATCTTTATAATATTTCATAGTGGGTTGATAGTTGGTACACTGTTGTATTGAATTAGCTAGGAGGCTGGATTCAATCTCCAAGTGTGCATGGTTCTGCCTAGGTGCCATACGCCCAGATGAGTGACCAAAGTCAAACTCTGAAATTCAAATGGTTTTGTTATTTTTGTAAAATATGAAACAAAGTATGTTAAAGAGCTTTTTAAGGAGAATTTGAAACCTATGGATAAATTTTTACACTTCTAAAATCAGTGAAAAATATGAATATCAAGTATTGGATTTGTGTATATTTCTTTATATGTGATTATGTAGAGTGTACAAATCGTTGTCATTTGTCAATGCTAGCGAACAAGCAATTCCTTATTTTCATCCCTTGTTGGTGAAGTGAAGGTGATGAACCTACTCTGTAGTCTAAAACAGCAGTACATGTGAGTCTAATAAGCTCACTTGGAAGTCTGGGCCAAATTCTTCTTCAAAGAATGTAAGAGTTCTCTAGGAATCTCATTATTGAGATAGCAGAGGAACCCTTCTCCAGTGTAGTAGTGAAGCTCTGCATCACTAATTAGTCTTGAAAATGCAATATTTTTTTATTTGGATGACAATCAATCTCTACCATCTCTTTTCTAACTTACTGGGCTTCACTAGAGAAGATTGAGGATTGTACTAACATAAATGGAAGCAGAAATGTGAAGAAGAAAAGTCAAATAATGTAATAAATTGAAATAATAGATTGAATCGTATGTATTTTGTCATCTTTGCATATGTTATTTTTGTTGCATAGCATGTGTTTTTTTTGTTGCATCTTGTTGCATTTTGTTGCATCATGTTGCATTCTTTGTTTTTGTTGTTGAGTTCTATCACATTTTGCGGTGTGGTGTTGCTTTTGTTGTTTAAAGGTGATTCCACAATAAACCCATTGTTTAGTGCACATATTCCTTGCCAATTTATCTTTAAACCTTTTGCTAGTATGCAAAAAATTGCTATTATTATTGATGCAGTTGTAATAATGTGAAAAACAGATTGAATTGTATATTTATCACAATACTTTTATATGTTTTTTTTGTTGCTTTTTGTTTCTTTTGTATGTTGTTTTGTGTTGTATCGTGTTACTTTCTATTGTATTGTGTTGCTTTTTGTTTATCATGTATTAACTTTTATGTTGATTTTTATTTTTGTTATTTATTTAGGTTTCTATTTCTTTTTCTAGTTTGGAGTAAAGAACCAATACACACACACACAAACACACACATATCAAAGTGAATTTATGAAAATTAACGGCAAGAATAGTGAATAAACAATAAGAAACAAAATTTGTAAATATATCAATAAAATGTAACACAAATAAACCATGTGCAATAAAGATAATGATAAAATAGCCTCTACATAATAATTAATTTTTAACTATCTTCAAAACCAAATAACAAAATTCATTATGTAATTGTTACTAAATTGTTTCAACTTTAAAATTTTATGCATTTGATTGATTATAGGTTTCACATTTTCTTAAGTCTTTTATTTTTTATATTTCTTAAACTTTATCAGTGTTTAAATTTCTTGGTTTCTTTAGACTTTTAAAATTTTACTCTATTTTGATTTTAATAAATTATTTGTTTTTGAAAGTTTTGGATTTTTACAAATTTATATACTTTACATTTATACTTTTTAATTTTACAATGTTTTAACTTTACATTTATACTTTTTATTTTTCTTAATTTTTAATTTTTTTGACAGGTTTGTGTTTTTACATATATATAGTACTTAGTTTTAAAAAATCGTTACATATAAAAATAGTTTGCATTTTTTAATGTTTCCATACGTTTTTTAACTTTCTAAAATTTTCTACATGTTTTTACATTTCACTAATTGATTCTGTAAATTTAGTTTACATATTTTTTACTTTATGTTTTTCCGTTTTTTATTTATAAATTTCGACTTTGAGTTTTTCTTATAATTTAATATTACTTTTGATTATTCCCGTGTTTTTTATTACTTTTTGATAAATCTTTACACTTTTGTTATCTAGCTTTGATTAAAAAAAAGTAACTCCACCACATTCTATTAGCCTATTAGCTTATTAGGAAACGTATGACTGTATGGGTGCAATTCAATTCGGTCGGTACATGTTCCTCATCAAAGTAAAGGAACTGCTTGATAAATGGCAAATATCCGGCGGTTTTACGCTAATTTTGAAAACAAAAGTTAACGGGTCTACTTGTGAAAGAAATTTTGAAAGATGAATAAAGTGATATTATTTCCATTTATAGTCCACTAACGAGGCCCATGGCAAATTTTCTCTCTCCACCAACGAGGCCCATGGCAAATTTTTCTGTCTTGTATACTTCGTATATACGTTAGTATATATATACACACACAAATACATAGAAATTACCCTCAGGTCACATTGTCATCGATTGCATTCAACGAAGATTCTTCTGTCTCTCCGGCAAACCGAAACGATGTCGTACGCCTACCTTTTCAAGTACATCATCATCGGGGACACCGGTAATCTTTATTTCTCCGTTTATTTGAACTGCTATCCATTTGGTTTATCAGATTTATATGATTTCATTCATGGTTACTCATTTTTTTCTTATGTATGTCCGCCTTCAAAAGTATGTCATCGATTTCATGATATTCTTTTTGTTTTTTATGTTGAAGTTACCGTTTATGTTTTGTAATGAATGACTCGTATTGATCTTAATGTTTGAATTTGAGCTTGGGCCCCTGTTCTTAGTCATCTTTCTTATGGTGTAAGATAATGTATTGTTGTATTTGATTTTTTCTACGTTCAATGCGGATTAGTTGAATGATTTGAATCTAGTCTAGATCTATATAGTTACTATATCAGGCCTGTCTGTTTTATAACCGAAGTAATCTAGTCTAGATCTATATAGTCACTATATCAGGGAAAATTTAAAATTTGTTCTTAATTCAAATTCCCAAGGTACCTTGTCCTTGTTAAAATAAAGGATGAAAAGCGGGAATTGGAGTTTTTGTTTCACTATAAAACTTTTGCAGCCTGGCAGAGAAGATTTGATATTCTCATTTATCTCCACCAAATGCTTTATGAAGCTGGTTCAATTTGGCTCTGTAATATATATTTGAAAATTTTTCTGAGTGATTTCTGGAGAGTGATCTAAAGAGGACGAGAGTAACAGTTTGCACTTCTATGGCCTTTTGGCCTTTGGGATTAGAAACAGAAGAAATATAGATATGGTCATATTATATAATGTGCATGTAGTGCAGGGGGGTGTGATTATTCTCTATTTCTCATGATATTTTTTAGAGAAAGTTGCTTAAATAGGACTAAAACATAGACAAAAGTGCACAAATAGGACCACCATTGTTTTGTTCCTAAACAAGGTTCATATACATCTAATTGAGGAAGTATTATACTTTTAATAAGGTAAAATAAGTCCTATTTAGGGAATTATAAACATATAGTCCTGTTAGTGCACTTTCGTTAACTTTTAGTCCTATTTGGATCAATTACTATATTTTTCATGCATGTTGATAATGAGGGCTTTGGAAGTACATCCTATTCTCCCATTGTAAAAAGGTTGTGACATGAAGAAGATCCAACATAAAACCTTTTCACTATGGTTCTTTGTTTAAGATATGTGGCGCTGCTGTGTTGGCAACGACTGATGAGGATAACATATGAACACATTTTGTTGTACAGGAGTTGGAAAATCATGTCTTCTTTTGCAATTTACCGACAAACGCTTTCAACCGGTGCATGATTTAACCATTGGTGTTGAATTTGGTGCTAGAATGATTACAATTGAGAACAAGCCAATAAAACTGCAGATCTGGGACACAGTTAGTTCTTATTCCCAGCCAGAAATTTACTCTTTCTGTCCCCTTTCATTTTCTTCTCATTTGACTTGGCACAATTTTTTTAATAATGGAAATTATTTGGTTGATATTTGTATAGAAAAGAGAGAAACAAACATCAACTATTAAATCCTTCCCCTCGAAATAATTTAGGGAGGGATGCAAAATGGAAAAATGAAGACAATAAGGGACTGAGGAAGTTATTTATTCCTTTGACATGATAGCTATTTTGTTTTTATTCTATTTTTTGTTTCAAATGGATGATCATCTTATCGCTATTTCTTCCAACTCAGGCTGGTCAAGAATCATTTAGATCTATAACGAGGTCTTATTATCGAGGTGCTGCTGGTGCACTACTTGTTTATGATATTACAAGGTATTAATATTTTTTTATTGTTTCTTTTTAAGTTGTGTATTCATGTTTGACTGCTCTAGTTCTAAGTGGTTAGTAAATTGCAACTTTATTCACTTGACATTCATCAGGCGGGAAACTTTTAATCACCTAGTTAGTTGGTTAGAAGATGCAAGGCAACATGCAAATGCAAACATGACCATAATGCTTATCGGAAACAAGTGTGATCTCTCGCATAGAAGAGCTGTAAGCACAGAGGAAGGCGAACAGTTTGCCAAGCAGCATGGATTGATATTCATGGAGGCCTCTGCCAAAACAGCACAGAATGTGGAGGAGGTGAATAAAATCGTTTACACAACTGCCTATAGCCCTTTGGACTTGTCTTAAAGATTCATCCATTATTCTGTTTTTGTTCATAACAAATTTGAAAGATAGGTGCTTTTCTCATGTTTGTATTGCTTTCTCGCAGGCATTCATCAGAACATCTTCAACTATATATAAGAAAATTCAGGAAGGAGTATTTGATGTTTCAAATGAGGTAGCCATGATAGCATTATTTTTGTTATTATTGTTACTAATTACAATTTTTTTATTGTTATAATACTGCCTCCATCCCAAAACAAGAGTCATGTTGAACCTATTTATAACATTTTATTTGGGTAAGGTACAATGTCATAAATAATAAATTATACTGGTTTATTTTACACATTAAGGTAACATTAGTCATTTGGGACCAAGTCTATTGAAAAAATTGGCAGTTACATCCCTTGTTTGTCCCAATAATTAACCTCCCACCTCACTAAGGCATAAAGTCAAATATTTGGATAACTGGGGGTGCAAATGCCAAATTTCCCTTATCAATGAACATACATCCATTAAAAGCTAAAGACCAACTCATCAGAAATGTTTTTTGTGTTTCATGTCCTCAGCGAGGTTGAACACCTCAGATAATAACTGAGCGATAGTCTATGATCTTAATCATATTTATGAGAAACATAATAACAGCATCTCCTAAGCATGTCTCCTTGGTTGCATGTTACAGTCCCATGGAATAAAGGTGGGATATGGAGGCATCCCTGGACCATCAGGTGGAAGAGATGGAACTATTGCTCAAGGAGGGGGTTGTTGCAGTTGAAAAACGGGAGCGGATGTTTAAGTCTTTCTGTTATTATGATGCAAAAAATGCCTGTTGCTATTTATTCGTCCATTTCGCATTCATTCCTTCTCTTGTTCAAAGTTTGTATCTTGTTTGTTTTAGTTATCATTTGTCCAAAGGTGAACTTGCATCGGTACATAAGTTGTTCTTCATCCTCACTGTCACATCTGGTGTATTTATTACATAACACTGTCAAATGTGAATAGATAATGGTTTGAAATGGTGATCGTTTCCCAGTTCTTTAATTTTATCAATTATTATTGTCAAGATTTTACTTCATTTCAGGGGTATGCATATGATCTAGTATGCAAGTCTACTATCTCGAGGAAGCAATCGTCAGTTACTCAGTTTGACAGTTTTCATTTTTTGTTTATATTATTGTACAATATTAACTCACTCAACTTAACTCGTTTTTAAACTCAAGTTTTATATACACATTTTTAATCATATACCAATTTTACTATATGAAGTTATGAACAATAATAATTAACTGGCATTTTTATACTATATAAATAACTCATCGGTTTACTTCATATGAATATATAGAGTGCTTCGCATTTTTTATTCAATATATAAATAACTCAACACTTTACTTCATCCAAAGAGAATGTATTAAAAAGTGACATTGTAATGTAACACCACACACATCACACATAAATATCATTATTGATGGACTTGGGCCGGGTGGCCCGACTCGGAACCGGCCCGGGACCGGTACTGTTCCGGCCCGGCCCGACCCGTTGGCCCGGTCAGTGACCGGTTCGGGTAGGCCTGGCTCGTGGGTTTCCGGTCCGGGCTTGGGTCACCCAAAACAAGGCCCGACCCGGCCGGGCCCGGTTCGGGCCAAAAACTATTTTTTTTTTCAATTTTTTTTAAATTTTCGGGTTGGGCTGGGTATTTTGGGCCATTTGGGGTGGTTTGGGGGGTTGGGGGTGGGATGTGGGTTAATTAGGAAGAGGAAAACAAAAAAAAAATTATAATGGGCTCGGCCCGGCCTGACCCGGTCCGGACCCGGACCGGACCCGGTGGTTACCCGGGCCGGTCCCGGGTCCACCATTTCTTACCCGCCGGCCCGCTCGGGCCTAGGCCCGACCCGGACCCGGCCCGGACCCGAGTCCATCCCTAAATATCATCCATTATCTTGTGGTCTGATGACATACTGTGACACTCCAAAGAAGGAGATTAGAGGTTCGAATCTCATCCCAGTTCAAGGATGTTGGCCTTAACATTGAACAGATACTATAATAGGTTAGAAAGTTTTACAAAAGAAACATCTTTCTTTTGAATATACGAGTATCTTACTATCTTAGGACAGTATTTGCTCATTACGCATGATATTGCAATGTACAATTGGCTATTAGCGAAACTTATCTCTCACGATATAATTTAGGCATGGATCCGGTCCGGAACCAGGTCAAGCACTGTTTGGGCTCGGATAAGGCCCTTTTTCCAGTTTCGGGCCTACAACTGGCCTTGTTTGCCCAAGAAGGGTAACCGGTCCTGATTGAAATTTTTGGGGACTGAATCGGGCATTTTCGGTCCCACCCGACAATTTATTTTCCACATTGGAACCGGACATAATAAAAAAAAAACGAGAACGGGTCTCGAACCGGGTCCGGACTGAACAGGTTCCCGGAAGCGACCCAGACTAGGAAATAATCGGGTCGAACCTAGGCCTCATCCAAACATGGGAAGGATCGGGCAGTCTCTGTCCGAAATTGTGACCGGTCCGACTTGGGTCCATTCATAGTATAAACCAAAAGTTATGTGATAACATCTAGCCTTTACTTTTATTGATTGTCACTACAAAACTTGTCATCATATGAAATTGCTTTCTCCGGAAATTGAACAAAATTGTGATATGGCGACAATGAGATTCTCATTACGTAAACTTTATCTATCATAGCTTTTCGAGTTATGAATTTGGATTTCGATACTTACTTTTCCGGTCTGATTATGACCAACCACGTTCCATTGAATAAACCTTACATATGTGATCAATATTTTTCAATTGGGCTCCAATTTTCAAATGCAAGCTAGGACATGATTAATCATTCTAGACATTGGATTGCTATTAAGATATTCAGTAGTGTACATCTCAACGTAGAAGGTAGTACCGATGTGCGAAAGGATAATATTAAGGGAAAATCTCCAAAGTAGGAGTAAAAACATTTTGAAATTCCAAAATAGGACTATCATGTTTTTATTCGCTAAATAGGAATATTTACCACTAATTTTAGAAAATACTGTCGTGTTTAAAGTGTAATAATGCGAAAATATGACAATAATTACTCGTATTTAGGAACCCAGGACCGAGGGAGCCCTCGGGGCGTTTATCCGCGCTGCGGTAGTCCACGTCCTTAGGTTCAGACTCTCAGTGATCGTCCTGATGCCAGGTGCTGGGCTTCCTGTACGGATGCAACTCAGGTGGTGGTGCTGCTCCTGAGACGTACTCCCTGAGGTGCCCCTTCCGAATAAGATCGTCAATCGCCCTTTAGAGGTTGTTGTAGTTGTCCATGGCATGGCCCCTCTTGCGATGGTACTCGCAATAAGCATCCATGTGGGGACCCATCGGCAGGAGGAGCGAGTATTCCCTGATCCTTGATATTCTTGTAAATCTGGGCCAGGGGAGCACTAAAGGGGTGTAAATGGGACCCTCCTCCCACCGTGCGTCAATGATCAGGGCGCGGGGAGACCATGGGGTGTACCCGCTGCTCATCTTCTTCTTCTTGGAAGAGGGGGATTCCTGGACCCAGCCGATTCGCCATCTTGCGGGTTGTGGCGGTTGGCGCCTTGTCCCTCTAGACAATCACTTCTTCAAGCGCAACATATTTCTGCACTCGGGCCAGCATCTCAACATAATTGGTCCCCATGGTCCTCTTTAAATCCATGTATAAATCTCCGGTCTCCAAGGTGTTGGTGAAAAGGGTGATGCCAGTGCATTCCGTCAGGTCCTCGACCTTCAGAGTCTCGTCCCTGCATCGGACCAGGAAGGCGGAGAGTGACTCTCCGTTGTCCTAGAGGACGCTCGTCAGCGAGCTAACATGTTTCCTCGGGGTGGTGTTGGACGCGAACTGCGCCATGAATTGTCTGGACAATTGATCAAAACAATGTATGGTCTCGGGCCTTAACTGTTCGAACCATTCCTAGGCTGGCCCTCAGAGGGTATTAAAGAATAACCTGCAAATGGCATCATCGGATGCCCCTAGCATGGCTGAGCCTACCCTGGAAAGTGAACAGGTGAGACTTCAGGTCCCCGACCCTATTTTAGACCAATGTGCTCGGTGGCCTGCAGTCCCGAGGGATCTCTGCAGCCATGATCCTTGCTCGGGGATGCACCGGCCTTTTCTCTATGCGACGATTCAGCTCGTCGATCTGTCTTTGCATGCCAGCCAGCATCTCATCCCGTGTTGTGGTGGAAGGGGCCGTTGGATCGATGATTGCTAGTGCATCCCCCGTGCGAACAACATCCGCGTTGGGCTGCCTCTGGATGAAGTGGGCGCCATGCCCCTCTGCATACCGGAAACGTTGCCCCACATTGCTTATTGCGGGGGTCGGCTCCTTGGCTCGGTGATTGTTGCGAGGCATCACCGGGGTGCGATCTCGGGTAGCAAATTGCTCCCCTCGTCTGGCAGCCCCGACTCCTCCATGGCCTCCCATGCCATGGGGTCGTGGGGTTCCACCCATCCGTGAGTATACCGAGGCACGTGTCTCCTCGGTATCGCCGGTTCGTTCCCCAAACGGCTGCATGCGACTGATTGGGGGAAAATAGGTGTACGCTCGATCTCTGCCGAGTACACGGTCTGTTCATCTTGTTCATTGGCCATGCGACGCATGGCTATTACTAGCCTTCTCATGACGCGGGGGTCCCTTCTGGCAAAGGGGAATCAAGTCGGTGACACCCCCGCGGGTAGGGATGGACTCGGTTCGGTCCGAGCCCGGTTCGGGCCTTGAACCGACCGGGCCTCGGTTCAAGGTATGGGAGGTCCGGAACCGGCCCGGGTAACCCCCGGGTCTGGGCCGGGCCGGGCCTCGGTTCTATTTTTTTTTTTGGCTTTTCCTAGTTAACCCCCAACCCTCCCCCTCACCCCCAAACCAACCCTAACCACCTCAAATGACCCAAAATACCCAGCCCAACCCAAAAACTTAAAAAAAATCAAAAAAAAAAATGGCCCGGCCCGAGCCCAAACCAGCCGGGCCGGTTCACTTTTTGAAGGGCCCGAGCCCGAACCGCCATCCCACCGGGCCGGGTGGCCCGAACCGGCCAACCAACCGGTTCACCGGGCCGGTCCAGGCCCGCACAGTAGCGGGCCGGTTGGCCCGGCCCGAGTCCAACCCTACCCGCGGGTCCACAGGCTACTGGACTGGCCACACGATGTTTGGGTGTGTGTCTTCCTGCTGTTCGCCAGCTGTCCAGATAGGTCACGAGTATGCTCTGAATTGATCTTTGCCAGTAGATTTGGTGGTTGGGAAGTTAACCATCCACAATCCTCCACATCATCGACATCACCTACCCCTTGGTAGTATAAATAGTAGCATTTATTTCATTGTAAATGGTTGACAATTAATACCTCCTAGCAATAGCAATTATTTCTACTCTTCTTACTGAGATAGACGAACAGCCTCGGGGCTTGTAGTGAAGTGTGTTGTACACGGACCCTTATTATCATTAAATAAGATACGACCAACTTACTACTATTTGGACTTGTTCTTTCCTTGCTTGATTGCACCATATTACCCATTTAATCCACCTCATATTCCACTCAAAAATCAAGGGAAGGTGTTGGACCTTTAGGTTGAAGGAATATACATCAACAATATTATTTGTAACCAAAGCAGTGTGTTGGCAAGTGTGAAAATGGAAGTGTTGTAACTAAAAAAGAATGAAGGAAGTATAAAAGTGAAACTTTATGGGAGCATACAATGCAAGATCGAAGGACTATTTCGGGAGCATGCGATGTCATTACGATATACTTCCAACTAATGCAATTATTTTTTAACATGTATTAGGAAATAAAGTATGTATTACAAATACGAGGTATATTTTAAAAATTGGAGAATATATTTGCAAATATATTGTCTATATTTGTTTTCTTATATACATAGTACTAAAGATAATCGTGATATAAATATAGAAGATATTTGTTATAATTTGTTAAGAGTTTTTGTTTGATAGAACATTTATACTTACCATAAATGTTGAACATGTATACATGGCCCCCTTTGTATGTACGAGTATGCGTGTTAAACGCTCGTCGTTGTTTTCTTTCCTAGGGGATATCCCACTTTTGTGGCCCCCAGTTGACACGGGAATCGAAACATCACTGCCAACCGCGGGGACCATCTTTCATTAGGGGAGAGCGTCGGACGGGTTCAGGTAGGACGGGTTGGGATTTGGTAAACCCATTCGGTTATTGGATTTTTAATTGGAAACCCTACCCTATCACAAAAAAATATCGAGCTATTCGGGTTGCACAAAATCAGATTCCGGTCGGGTTGAATCGGTTTTCGGGGCCATTCAGGTTGTATTGTAGTTATGTTGAAATTGTGAGAAATAAAGTGATAATTGATTAAAATAAAGTGATAATTGATAAAAATTGTAATGTAGTGACATATACAAAAAGTTGTATATTTTATATTTACTAGGTATCTAACAAGGAAATTAGTCATTTTATTCTAATTTCTTAATAAATGTAAAATTCACACGATTTTTTGAAAATTCAATTTATTCTCTTAAACGTATACTCCGTATGTTCTTTTGTTTTTTAAATAAAAATAATTGTTATCATTAAAATTCATTTAATATTATGGAAGAAAAAACTTTTATATTATGCATATGAATAAATATATACAAATATGAAATGAAATCACTTTATTTACTTTTTCAAAAAAAGTATACGAACGACATTAGAATTTAACTTAAGGTTATCATATATTATTAGTCTTTCGTGTATCGCACAAAAGCTGAAAATGTTTGTGTATACTTGTCTGGTTTTTTGTAATTTGTAATTTGTACGCAACGTCAACGTATACTTGCCTGGTTTTTTGTGTCTATGAACATGATTTTTTTTATCTGTGTCGTAGATAATTTTTTTTTGTATGTGACACGACCAGCATTGCGAGTTTGTGACACAATTTTTTGTATGTGATAAATTGTTTTTTCATGGACAAAATCTGCATGTTTATCCGCGGGCTTATACAAGAAGCAAAATCCTTCCGGACAAGTCCTGTTCTGGTCTTCTGGATTTGGATCGCCCGGATGCCAGGTCCGGTCCGACTTGTTGACTAAACACCTTATACCTGCCCAGCCTCGAAACCTAATCCACCCCACCGGTCCGCTGGAGTTCTGGCTATCACCCTCTCCGGAGAATCCAAATCTTACAGTCGTTTCTTCTCCACCGGCATACCCTTTTGCTGGTTCGCTTCATTGAAGTTCGAGTTTTTGTGGTTAAACTGAATTTCCAGTCCGAACACAATGGTATTTCTTCTCTTCCATTCTCTGCTCCATAAACTACTACCAGCAGCGTAAACTTTTGATTTCTTTGCGTGATGGGTTTTCGATATACTTCCGAATTGCTAAATATACTAAACTGAGGTGGTTTGTTAATTGTTAGATGGTAAACCCTGCAAGAATTGTCCAAATCAGAATAGTTGGATATGTTTAGTAGAAAGTGAAGTGTTTTTAAGTGAAATTCCAGAATTTTTTGATACGTTACGTCGCAACTTAATTCAGCGGAAGCTGTTGTAGGCGTTTAGTATGACCGACACTAAAGACAGGGATCCTACTTGAAAAAAAAGTTCTGGGCACTGGCACACACGAATTGTATTTCTTTATTGACAGTGTTGTTTTTATTGTAGCTGATAGTTGATTAGCATTCATATTTTTTTTATGCGATCATAGTCTATTTTCTACCTTGAGGCATTTGAATGTTCAGTTTTTATAATAGGCTCATTGCTGCTACTTGTTACCTTTTCAGAGTGGCAGGGGTGGGAGGGATCGTCCTCAAAGGGACTATTCCCCTAGAGACTATCCTCCAAGATCAGAGGACAGAATCCATCATAAAAGGAGCAACCCTCCTTCAAGACATCTTTGGATTGGAAACCTCTCTCAAAGTTTAAGTGAAGCTTCTTTCACTAATCATCTTTTGCGTTTTGGGGAGCTTGAAAGTGTTGCATTTCAACCAGGCCGCAGCTATGCTTTTGTTAATTACAAACACGAGAGTGGGGCCTTTGCTGCTATGAGACAACTCCAAGGTTCTGTTGTTGCTGGAAACGCAGTTAGAATTGAGTTTGCAAAGGCGGTTAGTCTTGTCACTCTTTGTCTGCTCCTTTGTGATCTTGTTGAATATATATACAAAATTATTGGCAAGATTTCAGCCTTCTATGACGTTTTTATCAAAAGTTTAAGTCAAGATACATATTCCCATCTAAAAGTTTATCTTTTCTCAAGTAAGTTTTAAACTGGGTAAGAACAAATTAGGCACCTTAAGTTGTTCTGGCAATTTTACTCTTTCAAGACAGTTGCATCTCCATGTTCCATGCAATGTGGTTTCGTACTCGAACAATATTTAACAAGCTTAAATTAAGCACTTAAATCAATAACCTCTGTAAATGGCAGCATACCGTCATACATCTATCTCATATTGCCTTTTCCTTTGGGTAAAATGGAACATATAATCAACTATACGTAAACCTATTTTAGGAGCTAAATAAGTTGAAAGGTGTAGATACAGCATAAAGAGATATATTTGTATCTTGGAATGCATTCAGAGAACTTTTGGCTAATGCTATGACATTCTCCATGAGCCCATGACACTCATTTCATCACCTCAGCCTACATAGATGAGAATCTCGAAGTACCTTTCTACTCTAACTTAATGTGCAGTATATGGACAATAAATTTCAATGTATACCCATTCAATTAATAATCCCTGGTATGTTGAATGCTGAAATTTCTACATACTGACATTGATCTTTACGTTACTGTGTATGCAGCCACAGTATATGACGTTTTCATGCCCTTCAACCATTCTTAACATTGATTAGTATCTGTTAAATAAGAAATTAATTATAGTATGCTGATTGCTGAAAACGCGGTTGTGTATTAGCATCTCATCAGGGCAAAGAGTAGAGTGGAACTTGGTGGTGGCTTCATTTGTTACAATCAATTTCAAAATTCATCACCTTTGAGCTATCAAATGTACATATCACATTTAGTACCATCAAACGAGAAAACAAAACATCAACTGCCTGCATTCATCATACATCACATGATTATCACTTCAACTCCATCAAGCTGCACATATCAATGTACTTGAATGTTGCGTATACAGAAAGGAGCAAGAGCAATAACATCATGTATCCATGTGCATAATCATCTCTATAACATTTCCAGCTCCAAGTGCCAGGAACAATCAATTTTAAGGTCTCTGTGCAGTGTCTTAGCTTCTGATTGAATACAGTGTTCTACCTATCAATCGGCAAAGTGTTAGCCTCACTGTGAATTGACTCTAATTATAATACAAATTTATACTATATACTTACATACAACAACATCCAAGCCCTATTTATATATTTATTATACTATATATTAATATGATGTGTATTAAATAATAGAAACTAATACTAACTTCATCCCATAATGTAAGATGCACTTCGGTTTGGTGCTGGTTTTCAGAAAATAAAAGATAAAGTGGTTGTTTTACACTTCTAACCTCCAATAAGTAACAAAGAGTAATATGGGTCCGCAAAAAGTAAAAGGTGAAATGATAGATAAAAGGTTAAAGTGGGAAAGTAAAAAGTTAGCGGAGTTCAATTTAAGAAAGTGATCGTATTTTTGGGATAATCCAAAAAGGAAAGTATATTAAGATTTACTTTAACAAAATATTAAATTATTCATTAAAATTCTTGAAACTTCATACTTAAATGCAGCAACAATGAAGTCATCACACCACCAAAGTAGTAAATTTAAGCATCACATAATAGTTACAAAAGTATAAAGAGAATATATTCAAAAGAGGTAGGAATATAAGGGTGAGGAGGAATGAATAAATTGAATGGTTGTGAAAGGTGGTTGCATACTTGCATATAAACAAGTATCTTTGTCTATGTTACCAAGAATAACAAAAAACACACGTGGCCTTGAAGGGCAACACATTAAAGGATCTGGGTCCTGCTCCGAGCTTAGGTTTTATGTGGATGAAGGGAGAGATGGAGTAGAAGGACAGAGAGAATAACACTAACAGTTTGCTGTAAGAATTTAAGAGAGGGTTTATGTTAAAAAACCGCGAAACAATATGTTGAACCTCATTGCTCTGGCAACACGGTTTTCACCTCATTAGGATATTATGCGATACTTAGAAGTCTAAATAGGTAGCGTGATATTCCTATTTTCTCCCACAATGCCATGAGCTGCGCCACGTTGGTAAGCTTCATTTTGCAATTTCAAATGTTGGTTATGCTTGAGGGGTAGAATAACAAATTGATATGGCTCTTTACCTTGACAGAGTATAGTGTGGATTGCAGTTCTCCATACAATTTGTGCATCCACATGTTACGAATCATACTTCAACCAACAAATCAAGACAATTGGTTGTTCCTGAGTTTAGTTAGTTATACATAAAAAGGGGTTCAGATTTCTTTAGCTGAATCAAGAATCTTCTAATCCTTAATGCGTGTAATAGAATATAATGATGGAGATTAACTCTTCAAGATGCCGTCTGATAAGTTTGATATGTTTCTTAAGAAGAAACTTGTGCCATCACAAATCCTGTTAAACCCCTTCCCGCCATGAAAGGGGTGAGAATGTGATAAACAAATTATGCAACTGATAAGCCAGCTTTTAATCCTACTAATTTAACTTCTATCAAGCAATTCTAGATACACATACTTCCAGCTGAGTTCACCTTGCAGCGCAATCAACCCTGCGCATTGGCTAGCCGTGTTGATAATTAGTAGTTGACATGTTCATGTTTAATGGTTGACACGATAATGTCCAAGTGCTATGTATGGGTGGTGATAGCTCTGAAAATTTAACAACACTGCAAATGTAGAATTCATGCAACCCGTGTTTACCACATTCTATTGCAGTAGTTGTGGTGAATTCTCTCTCTTTATCTATATATATAAATATTATGGGTACTGTGTGCTGTGTACTCTGTGATGTGTACTTTGTAGTGCATTGCAGACTTAGGTGTCCATTCCTCGCTAAACCTATTCCAATTAAGTGGTTCCTTCTTGAAAGCTGAAACTATAGAGCTGTGAAGCTGTCGTTTTATATTTGATCATTTGATGATGCTGGCAATTGCTCTTGCTTTGATGAATATGTAAGATTAAGATTTATACTGCTTGGCACTAGTAATCCGAAGGAAGGCAAACTTTGAAGTTGTTTTCTGTTAACATTACTGACATGTAAAGAATCATATCACGATCTTTGGACAGTGGCACTCCTTTTGACTTGATGTTTGCACAAACTTAACCAATAGGCATATTTTTTAGAAAGATGTGAATAAAAAAAGGGCAGCCCGGTGCACATTGACGTCCCCATAATGCAAGGATCTGGGGAAGGTTCCCACCGCAAGGTGTATAAGGAGCAAACCTTCTCTTTTCATTTTAACAAGAAGCTGCTCCCAAGACTTAAACCCGTGACCTCTCTAAGTCACATAACAACGTCGTAACCGGTGCGCCAAGGCTCCCCTTCTTTAGGAAGATGTGAATGCACTTGATAAGTGTATAGTTGTTAGGAACTTAAGCACTTTGGAGACCCACATCCCAAAAGCTAGCTGTTAAGGTGGGAGATCCAGGCACTTAAGAACCCCACCAAGCATCCCATTCTACTCGGTGTGGGACTTTTGGTATCTTATACTACCTAGGTACCTAACAATACACCCTCCCCGGAAAGCCGACGTCCCGACGGCTATACTCGGCGACACTTCACTCGACGGTACTTCACTCGGCTGATCTGCCGGTAGCCCCTTTTTTGGCCCGCCGACAACCGGCTTTGATACCATTGTTAGGAACTTAAACACCTTGGAAAGCCACACCCCAAAAGCTAGCTGTCAAGGTGGGAGAGCCAGGCAGTTAAAACCCTACCAAGCGTCCCATTCTACTCCGTGTGGGACTTTTGGTATCCCATACTACCGATGTCCCTAACAATAGTATTCATCCCTTAGCATCTAGGCCACTGAGAGATTAAATAGAGACCCATCTATTACTAAAACAGAATTGTTTTCCTGCAAGAAGATGATAGAGCCAAAGAATATGACTGTTTTGTGGTGATATCCCTCCAAGCAATTTTGCCTAAATAGTAAATACCTATTGTCCTATTGAGAAGGGGAGCCTTGGCGCACCGGTTACGGTGTTGCTGTGTGACCGAGACGTCACGAGTTTAAGTCTTGGGAGCTGCCTTTGGTAAAAAAGTTGCAAGAGAAGGCTTTCTTTTTATACACCCTTATGGTGAGACCCTTCCCTGGAGCAGTGCCTTGAGGGGCGTGCCAATGTGCACCGGGCTGCCCTAGCAAATACGTGTTCATTCTCAATGTAGCAGTCTTTCCGTGCACCAAATCAATCTGCTTCAGTGCTTGGAGGCTCCTTGCTTAGACCTGGTTTAATATCCCTTTCCAATCAACTTAGTTTAAGCTGCCTCTCTGTTTTATTTAGTTGAATAATTCCACCCATAAATCTGACAAAGCTCCTTTTTGATATTATTTGTGAATTATGGTTCCATATCATTTTTTATAGTATTATGGGTTTAAATTTTAAGATGCATTTTGCAACTAGTGCAAAGTTGATATTCATTATCAACAGATTTTTAGGGTGTTTGTACTTTGTACTACTGTGCCGACCCCAATATCTTTTGGGACTAAGACTTGGATGTTGTTGTTGTTGTTGTTGTACTTTGTACTACTGTCCCTTATGATTTATATTGTTGTTTTTCGATTGAACTCCATTTTATTTTATCCTGATGGAAGGACTATCATTTATCATTGCTTCAATCCAGGAATAACTTCAGTTGCGATTGCCTTTATCTGCTTCTAATTGTATTTGGATCAGTAAACAGTCCGGATGTTGTACTCAAGCTAAATATTGTATTACACATTGCATGATGTTGATACCCAAAAATACGTGTCATTTTTACCCCATAAATGGAGGATTTTCCTGTCTCAATTGGTGCATAAAAAGTTAGGGAACTTTACTTTTTTCATTATTCTTTCTTTTCTCCACTAAATAGCTTCTTGCAACTTTAATATGTTGACATGCCTTGTTTGATGATTCAGTGAGGTATGTCACATATATCTTAGATTCTTAGGACAACAATATGGGTTTGGATGATCAGAATCATATTTGCAAATTTTCATTGGTTATAGATAAGAATACTTCTAGATTAAATTTTCTCTTATCTTTGCATTGATCAAGAGACTTTTTCTTCTCCCTCTTCTTATCCAAATATTTTGTCTTTACAATCATTACCTTTTTATGTGCCACTTCAACACTTACACCCAAACTTCTAGATGTGAGCACTGAAATGGAGTCATGATGGTGCAATTTATCTGGCCTTCCTATATTAGTTCGTTGAGACAAAATAGTATCGGAGTTTGTTCTTCAATTATTGCTGGTTTTTTATCACAGGATAAGTCATCACCACTAAATCGAGATGAGGAATATTTGCTACATCGAGATGAACGCCCCTCTGTTAGGGGATCCCCACCATGGCATAGGGAATCTAGGACACGCTACTCCAGTCCTGACCTGCCGTCATATATAGACAAACCGAAGGCAGTGGATCGAAATTCAGAACCAAGTCCAGTCTTATGGATAGGGTTTCCTGCTCAGCTGAAAGTGGATGAGTTTGTTCTAAGGAAGGCGTTTTCACCATTCGGAGAAATAGACAGGATTACTGCTTTTCCTGGCCGTACTTATGCCTTTGTGCGCTTCAAAAATGTGATAGCAGCTTCCCGAGCAAGAGAAACTCTTCAGGGGAAACTATTTGGAAACCCTCGCGTTAATATATGTTTTGCCAACAGTGAGTCCGGGAACTTCAACCGGGACAGAAACTCTGCAATGGATTCTCCATCTCCTCATTTTAGTCAACTTGGGAACTTCCGACAGGAAAGAAACTTCGGTAATAATGCTGCTGGAGATCGTGACCTGAGGTCCCCTCATTTTTTCCCAGACTTGGAGCAGCCTCGTGATCCTATGGTGGGGGGTCGAAAGGGAAACTTCTGGGATGTTGAGGATGGCCCGTTTGAACGAGTTGGGCCACCTGGACGTGGATATGATCCTCGAAGTCCTCCATCTAGAAAAAGGCATCAAGATTTCCGTAGTTTTTCTCCGCAATTCCGTCACAGAGATCGGATGTTTGATGACGATGACCAATGGGATTTGCCAGAGGATACATCACTCTTTCGTGAAGCAAAGAAGCTGAGGGGAAACTCCTATGATCCTGATAATGAGCTTCCAGAGTATCCTTTGTCTGATTCAGCACCGTCCAAGCAGAGGACCTACCACCATGGTTATCCACAACATGATAAATCTTATGACTCTAGGCCTTTTGTTGAGTACAGAAAAAATCCAGAAGGCCCAGGCGCATCGAACAACCCCTCTTATGGCAGTGAGCATGATAGGTGGGGTGAAGGTTTTCAGATGGGTTCTCGTCCTTTGGCAACCAATCCTGAACGTAATAGATCAGCTGCAGCAGAATCACGCCCGTCACCTGTGAATAACAAAAACAACAATAAAGAGTGGAAATGGGAAGGCACTATAGCTAAGGGAGGGAGTCCTGTCTGTCAAGCTCGTTGCTTTCCAGTTGGACCACCTCTAGACATGAATTTGTAAGCAACACATTATATACTCCCACTGTCCCAAATTGCTTACTTTTGCACTGCTACCGCATAATGATCCTACATATCATATCATTCATACGGTACTTTTACAGATATCTACAACTTTGTCATTCCAACATTGCTTACTTTTGCACCGCTACCGCAAAATTTAAGGATAATTTTGGTATTTTATACCATTTTCTTAATCTACGAGCCCAACAAAGTGTCACCATTAATTTGGGACGGAGGTAGTAATTAAGTACAATTTTAAGATGTATCAGAAGGTAGTAAGAAATCAGGAACACCCCACGTGAATATAGTTGACCAATTTGTTGTCTAAGGCCCCATTTGGTATATGTTGATTGGCTTATTCTTCTTACCATAAGAATAAGCAGAATAATCGGAATAAGCATTTGACTTGCTTATTTTTCTGAAAATGATTTTACCGGACACTTGTCTAAAAAAATTACGCAATTTCAATGAAAGAACACATATGCCAAGTGTGCCCTAAATATGGAATAACTAGATTTGATATGGCTTTTGAAATTTGAACAAAAATCAATATTGTGTTTTTTCTTCTTGTTCACCATCTTGTCGAATTATGCAGGCCTGAATATTTAAATTGCACGGCAAGGACTAGTTTGGAAATGCTTTCAAAGCATTACTACCAGGCTGCTCGCTCATGGGTTGTCTTCTTTGCCCCGGCAAATGACCCTGATATTGCATTTTACAATGAATTCATGAATTACCTCGGAGACAAACAACGGGCTGCCGTTGCTAAATTGGATGACTCTACAACCTTGTTTCTTGTCCCTCCTTCAGAGTTCTCAGAAAAAGTACTGAAAGTGCCTGGAAAGCTGAGCATGTCAGGTGTTATCCTGAGGTTAGATGCAGGTTATGAGCAACTAAATGATTGTGACAGGAAAGGCACTGATCACTCATCGTTCTATCCACCATCACCAACAACTGTTCGTTATCCGCCGCAAGCACCATCGTCATCTGGGCCCACTTATGCATCATACCCGAAGATCACGAGTAATACTGATGGGTTGGCTCATCCCAATAGCAACGTGTCTGGACATGAATATAGGCGTAACCTGCCTAATAATTCTTCCCATCAGATGCATAACAATATGAATTATTCTCAAGCATCATCCTTTAATAATAGCAATGTCAATTCTAACAGGGAGTATGATTTGGGTGGGCCCAGGACAGGACATGAAAATCCAAAGCCTTCCACGGCAACTACAGGCCTTCAACCAGAGCAATTGGCACACTTGGCCTCATCTCTTCTTGGGAAACAACAGAAGGTTGCCATGCACCAGCAATCTGAAAATGCGTACAGGCCATCTGCCCCTATACACAACAACAATTATGGGCAGCCACCAAACAATCACTTGTCTGAGTTTCAATCACCACAATTTGGTCAAGTACAGCAACAAGGAACATCAATGCGCCCCCTTCAGACCACTGTGTCGTCAAACCAGCCTTCTACACAGGACAACAACAGTGCAGACCCCGAAGTACGCTTGCAAGCAACATTGCAGCTGGCTGCTGCTCTTCTAAAGCAAATTCAGCAGGGTAAAGGGAACTAAGAAGTGGTTGTTTTGTTATGGATACCAGCCTTTTGTGGTCATGGATTGTTATTTTGTTAAAACATTAAGTTAGTTTTTTCTCTTGGGTTTCTGAAATAGAAACTTGGTTCGTTTAAGTGTGGTTGTTGATAGCATCTCTTCTCGTCCACTTTCTTTTAGTTGATCGATGATCCAAGAACAAAACACAATCAAATACAGCATTCATTAACTTTGAAACTATTACCTTTATATCAAGCGAAATTTTACAAAAGAATGGGCATTTTACAATTTACATACAAAACAATCAATATGGAGAATGCAAAAAACTGGAGAAAAGAGTTGGTGCACATTCAGAAATACAAGTAGTTTGATGATTCTGGTCCGTTAGTTGTGTCTCTGCAAAGAATTGACTGAGCTTCCACTATTGAGCGAGGGGGCTCAAGATCTTTCTCTTGCAGAGTATTTCCTTGCAATCGCTGGATTTGAGAAGCGAAAATGTCGTCCAAAATCTGCAAAAAAATTGTTTATAAGACTAGTAAAAATCATATATTTTTAATAACCAATTGGTTTCTTTCATAGGTTTTTGTAAGCTATTATGTTTACGCCAAGCCATATAATACTTACTCCAAGAGCATGATATGATCCATTGTACCAGACCCTGTTTTCTTTTCTCCCCTCCAAGAATTTCAGTACAATCTGGTAAAAAAGAAGGAAGCTTTAGTTTAGTTAAGTACAACAGAATAATGAATTGCTTGGGTTGAGACTGGAGAGGTCTATACAACTAACCAACCTGTCCCATTTTGTCCCAGAATCCGCGACAGATTGCAATGAATATTCGGCTGGTAAAGACCTCCTGCAAGTTGCATATGGAATCAGACAACTGTGTTCTTAACGATTGCATTCTTTCACGGATTTCAGCCTCTCCGTCTGTTTCCTTTGTATCTTCTAGGATCCTTTGTAACCTTGTGTTCCTGTTAGCTTGCATCTGAAAAAAAACATATAAAATCTATTCATAAAAAATATGAATGAATGAGATTCTTTTCGTTTAATTTCTGAAGATATTCAAGCTATGCAAATTAATTTTGCTAGTGTGAAGCTTTCTCGTGCAAGTCATCCAACGAATCGTGCTGCTCACTCTTTCTCAAGAGCAACTGTTTGTTTGTTTCTTTCTTTCTTTCTTTCTTTGTAATTTCTGATTGTTTTTTCTCCTCCATATATTGTTAAAGGGATTTGGAGCATGATTTGATGAATGAGATTATATTATTGTCGTTAATGGATCTGGGTTTACATTGCTAGCAAGCTTGACAACAATGGCCTGCACATAATTCTTGTATTTGGTTCTCAGCACCACAGTGACCCCATTCATCTGTTCGCCAAATGCTTTTTTCCTTTCTCCATTTTCTGGCAAGTAGGACGCCCATGACTTGAGAATATCCTCCACTTCACTGTGGAGAACATCAAGCATTCTCTTCATAGTATTCAAGAAAGTTCCCAACTGTCAAACGATGCAGGAAAATGTAGAATACCGTTAAACATAAACTATATTATATAATTAAATACACCGATTTATTTATTTGAGCATTTTACACTTACCTGACTCGGGATGCAATACAGAGCAGTTGACTGTCTTCTTGCTAATTTCTGGACTTGCATGCCAAGCCTTTTTGGAATACTATCCTTCAAGGGGGTCAATATATCATTATATTGTTTTTCCAGTGCTTTTATAATTGCTCTCTCCACATTTGCAACTGCCTATAAATATTACAAGAACATATGTTGGCCAAGGATATATGTGCACATCTATGTATATATCAATGCAAATAAACATTAGTATCGTACATCCTCCAAGACCAGTGTATATTGAGGCCATCGATGAATGACAACTTCATACTCAAGTAACAATTGTTTGACTTTTTCAAACATTTCTTCAGCAAAGGGTGACGTTGAATAGTTTGTAATCACCCCAGACCATGGCACCTGAAATATATCCCTCTACTGTCAGAGTTTGCAACGTATAATTTTAATTTGTACTTCTGTAGGTGTTGAAATGTTCGGCATTATTTACTCAATGATTAAAGTATAGATACTTTACCTTCTCTGCCTTGCAAAGCTCAAGTAGATTAAGCTGGAGGTCATCCACCCAAACCATTATATAATTGTCGTACAAACCTCTTGAGTCTACCCCACCTTGAACCATGCTGAAAAATATGACAGTCAAGAGCATAAAAATGTCTCTTGTGTAGGGTGTTTTCTTTTGTTGAAGAAAAAGAAAAAAAATAAGAATGAGAGTTTCATGTCACTAACACAATTTTCCATAACTCCAGATTCCTTTCAAAATCAGAAGTTGCTATCAAAAGTTCATTAACATGTGTCATGGGACTTGATGGAGGACATGCGGCGAGAAAAGCTTTAAGTCTCTTGCTCAACTCAGTGCTGTAGACAGCAGTTGTGATGCTTGAGAGGTCAATAGAACTGAAAGAATTAAGGAGGCATCATCATTATCATCATCATCATTACCCCGCAGTGCCTCAAAGGCTCCCACCTACGGTGGGGTAAGGGAAAGAATTAAGGATGCAATTTGAGATAATTTTACATTTAGTGTGTATCACACCTCTTACTTCTACTTTTTAGTAAAATATAATAACTCGAGCTTCTTATTTAAATCCTTAGGAAAACATCCTTTTATTATTGAAGAATTGCCTTCTTAATTGATGTTGACTTAACCTTGGCAGTATGTCCTGATTATGAATTTTGATATCTGCTTGGATTTCATTGCTTATGTTGATGACAAGGCTCTTCATCTTAGCATATGCTGTAGATATAGTAACTGAATCCATAACAAAGCCTTCTGAGCTAATCGACAAAAACTCATCCGTTTCTACCATGTGCTTCCGACACCTCTTGGCAGCTGCTGTCTGCATTTAAAGCATAGTGTAATAGTTAATTAAACTAGTAAGTAGTAAACTAACTATAAACTATTAGTGATTGGCTTACCTGCAAATAGTTTTTAAGCATTGTCTGGGAGTCCTGAGCAAGAATATCATGGAGAAGTGTGTACACATGTACGGCAGAAGCAAGTGCTGGTGCTGCCGCATCTGCTGTGGAACCTGAGATGTCTGCTAGCCCTGTCAGAGAATCTTCATCTAATGACTTGTAGTTCTGGAACACATCTGCCAACAGACTTTCTACACGTGTTTCACAATCCAACAGTATAGTTTTCTGGCGACATTTCAAAAACAGGAGATAAAGGGTTATGCGAGGGAAGCAGAATAACCAAATGGTGTTTTAAAAAGAGCTATGCTATGAACTTTAGAGCAAAGCAAGTGAGTAAGTTTTTTTAATTGAGTTTGGCTGCTGGGCTTAGGTGACCAACCATCCTTAAAAGATGCAATGGGTTGTGAAGTCATGCCATACCAATCAGGCAATCAAATACAAAGATACAAATTTAAATATAAGTTATTGATTTATTGCTACCGAGTTGACCATTTAGGATGAAAAGACAAGTCGTATATGGAACTAGAATCAATTAAACTCAAATAACAATCGACCCAACTAAGACTCAAAAAGAGCACATATATTTCAAAAATTGGTATGTTCCAATGAGTCACACCATCTTGCGGGGCATGTTGTTAAGACATATCACAGAAATGACATAAGAACACACCTCTTGTCTAGTTAAACTTTTATCAGTCCTAGCTTTTATGACCGGAAGAAGCAAATCATACACAAGCTCTAAACAATCTTGTGTTGGCGTGGCAACATCCATTACATGCGAAAGATACCTGTGTAATACCAAAGTTAGTAATAAACTTATATTTGACGTGATTAAGTAGTGCAAAGGGAACATTTGATATGTTGGTGGTACCTCAGTTTGGTATATGAATCCGAGACTCCGTAATAATCTGAGAATTCTGCCAGCAACCATTTCCAGGGTTCATCTATACCTAAGTGTCTTGCACGAAATTGTCTAGCACGCATAGCAGCCTCTAGCAATAGATCATATGCAAGAGTCTCCACAATAGGTCCACTCTGTCAGACACCAGAATAAACAACAATTATATAGGGAAATCATTTCAAAGCATGAAGCTTTTCTATGCTTGCATCTAAGTACCAACTCATAAAGAATCAGTGGAGCTAAGGTCCAAAATTACATTTCCAATGCTCTTACATTAGGTAATTGCTTAAAAGAGTACCATCTTGCTGAACATGAAACAACTTATTCATAAAAAAGTGTAGAGTATAGAAGTACATATAAAAGAATCTTTTGTTCCTTCTGTCCTTAGTACCTTTGAGTGAAGCTTCACAATTGAATGATAAATGATGGAGTTTGCAAATACAAACCTTTAAATGTACCGTCTCATTACTTGTGAATGTACTATTAATATAAAGTTGGACCTTCCCAACACACTCATGCTCTTCAAGATAAATCGGCCACCATCGTATTTTTTCATTCTGTAAAGTGGTTAATAGTTGTCGTCAACATTCATACCACAAATATTAATCAGCTATTGGCACATTTTTTAAAATAAAAATGAACCCATGTTGGTAGCTAGTACTGGTTTGAACCTTGGGACTAGAATGTCTCTAAGATTGACCAGTTCAACTTGCAGAAAGAAAACTAGAGTAAAACTCTAGTCGTTCACTTCAGTTGCCATGGAATAAGTCATCCAAAATGGTCCACAAACCGATGATAATTGAAAAAAAAAATCAAAAGATGGAACATACAAGGTTATCAACCATGGATGAAATTGGAACCGTTGCTAGACCAAGAGTATTTTTCTTAGAATCTTGAACTTCCACCAAAAGGGCATCACTTTGGTTTTCTGGAAAACTGCAATGGTTAGAAAGCATACACATCAGAATTCTTTTTCATGGAATGGTTGGAGTAATGAGAACTTGAGAAGCAGATAAAGAGTCCTTGTGATGCACATGGTAGTAAAGAACAATAAATAATCGCAAAAGCGATAAATCTGTATTTATTAAAAAAACTGACAACTCACAAGTCATGGTAGTCACCAGATCCAGGCCTCAAGGAGACAGCAGAACCTGTTTCAACCTGAGTATCTTCTGTTGAACTTCTCAGCTGAACTAAGCATGCAAGTGACTCTGAATAAAAGATAGTGAAAAGCCCTTAGTTAGGTTATCATATAATTTGTTCCCTTAGAAACATTTACATAAACTTATAGATAAAATTGATATTATAGAGATATTTATAGGACAGAAGTGTATTTTCTGTATAAACATTTTAATCATTTTATTTCCCAACTCTTATCCTCTATCTATCTTGACCATTTATAGCCTTTAATGGTTTGTTATAGGCTGAGATTGCACACCTTCAGATGTCAACAGAAGTGGATGAAGTTGTTTGAGAGAGCTGAGTCGGTTTTTCACTGCTGATGAAACATGGCGGACATATTCTGCCCCCACTTGCATGTAAACTGCTCCACGAAATGAACTAGAGCTCTTAAGCTTCCTCCTAGGTAAGATTCTGAGCCTTCTCACTGCCAGCATGTAATGATTTGTGAACTATATGAATTAAGTGTAACAAAAATGGCCCACTTGAAATAATGAATGTGATAATGCATTTGTAAAATTGGACCTAACTTACCCCAAAAGGATCTAGATAAACTGAGGTTTACTCAACACTCAAATATTAGACACAAATCTGGTAAACATCCAACACCATGTGGTGTCTACACATTACACATCTCCTTGGCCCTAACAGGACAGTTTGAAGAGGTGGACAAACGGGCTAAACTGACCCCCATTGGGTATCTTAAATCATGAGGTGCCAAAAAACAAAACAAGCCATTGGACCAAACTCTGATAATATGTTAAATTAGGTCTAACTCACCCCCAAAACAATGCTCAGAGGTGAGGGCTTACCTTGTACTGACATAAAGAACCAAGTGAAATTTAAAGAAGTTGAATTTGAATCAGAAAATGAGCTTTGAATTCTACCTTCCACCCGAATCATTCCAACCGCCTTTCTCACTTTCCCAGGTAGTGCCTTTTCCGTGGTTTTGTTGCTGATTTTATCGGTTGGTTGGCTATGCCGTGGTTGTAGCAAAAGTTTCTGTAGCCTAGAAAGTGTTGAAGGAAGGAATTAATAAATGATATAGGACTGTAAGATGATATAGCATAGAGATTACACAGTGCCCAAGTTGACTTCATACCCAAAGGAACTTCGAAGCAGCTTGCATTCATCGCGCAAAAATTCAGGTGCTTCGGTACAACCCCTTGCCCATGCATTTAGGCATAGTCGGATACAAGCATCATAAGCTAGTATAACTTGCCATGCATTTTGGTTTCTGTTTCCAGATATCAAATTATACGATGTTTTTTTGAAGAAAATAATAATAAAATTATCATCTTTATAATGTATCCTTGAATTTGAAGTTCAATATGATATTCTGTGCAATAATCTCAACTTTATGTTAACAAGTATTCATTATTTATGCATAAACACTTCAATATGATATTATGTGCAATAATCTCAACTTTATGTTAACAAGTATTCATAACTTATGCATGAACAACTAACAGCAAGAACTCAATAACTCATTAGTATATTCCTTGGTCAGTCATAAAATGGGACAAGCTTCGTTAAACCAAAGGGAAATTGCCCTGAATAGGAGTAAACAGGTTTTGGAATTCCAAAATAGAGCTGCTATGTTTTTCTTTCCGAAATAGGAGTCATTACTGCCATGATTGAAAAGTACAACCATTAATGATAATAAATACCGCCTTGTTGTTTGCAAAGAAATACTGCCATGTTGGATTCCTAGTACTGCAACTATTTGGCAATAATGAATACAAGATGACAATAAATACTATCACTTTACTCTTATTTTGGGAAGAAAAACATAACAATCCTATTTTGGAATTCCAAAACCTATTTTACTCCTATTTCAGAAAATTTCCCTAAACCAAACTAGAAACTTGTTAGTGGAAAATGAGCTCCACTGCATTATCTTCTCACTGAAGTGAAATTTTGATGATGAGTTGAAGGGTATATCCTCATCTAGACTTCACAGATTTTTCATAGGATTAAAAGCACATGCTCTCACGGATGGCCCCTCAACCTGACCGTGCATTATTTCAGTTTTCATATGTGATCTGTTTCATGGCTACTAATTACATAGAGTCTGATACCATATTAATACCTAGAGTTTCATCCGGGAAGGTCAATCTCATAGAAAAGTAGTCAAGATCTTATACTGTGTACATTGGTTTGCATTTTTATATATATAGCTAATATGAAATAAATGCTTCAACAATAAGGAACCTCAAGTTCTTCCTCTAACAAGTCTCTATTTCTTAGTAGGGATTCCTAGCAGCTGACGGCTTGCTCAACACAAGACACACACACACACACACACATATATATATACATGCAAGATGAGTAAGTTAAACCTGGTGTCATAAAGAGGCGAATGTTCTTCAACTGTGTTTCCATGATGGAAAATCGCCTTAGAATCCATCTCGCCTTCATTTTCTGCTTTATCTTGCCTGCACCACAAAAACAGCTTATGTGTACTTACAGTCTGACACCTTTCACATACATATATATACATTGAAAAAAGATAAAGTACACTCTCTTAATTGCAACGGTGCTGATAACTATCATACCCATTAAAAGTTTCAGCATTTATCTGTTGTCCTGTCCTATCACATGAGTTATTAATTTCATCAGCAATGACATGTTCAATTCCTGCCACCTCATTGGATGTGTCTGAAACTTCAAGGTTGTGTTCTTGTGTTTCTCCAATATCAACTATGGGAGGGGCACTTGGGGTCCCCAATTCATCAGCAAGCCTCCCAATTGGTGTTGCCTGTATCAATTAAGTGATAACAGTCCAAAAATTTCAAATTTCTGGTCTTTTAAAGCATAAAAATTGAAGTGAAAAATACCAATAGGTGGCTTACATAGGCACTATGTGGTTGGGCGTTTCCTCTACACTGAGAATTTGAAAGAAAACCAGAAGCAACACTTTCCCCAAACACCGATTTAACTTCCATAAATCTATTAGCATTCCCGGGCACTTCAATCCTAAGACTCTCCTTGGAAACCCCTCTAATTAAATTAGGTCTAATAGTGTCCAGTTCTCGATTTGATTCAAAGTGAGACTTGGAATAGCACATCTCCTCGTATGAGGGCTGTAATTTACCAATGTCTTCTGGACCAGAAGCCGTGCTCTCCCTGTCATCATAGTCGTCATATTCATCTTCTTCACTCTCTGGGTTCAGGGAGACAGTAGTGTGAGATGCTCCCAACAATGCCGAGTAGAATTTCAATGGCGGCAAACCATGCATTACCCTACTCCTACTGTAATCTAAAGGGGACCTCGGAACTGAATACTTTTCACTTAAAGGTGATCTATCCTCAGATTTCTTTGCATCAGAACCCTGCACATATATATAAAGTTCCGAACTTTAGCTGAAAGAATAGACAGAAATGCACCGTCCCTGAAGAATTTAACCCAAAGAAGATAAAACTCACTTGGCAAAGTCAATGAAATTTCAAGGAGATACTATGGTTTACCTGTTTGATCCAGCTGATTGCGGACTCATCCAATCCTTCAGTGAACATCATTTTTGAAATGTTTTTTTTCTTAAGGCGCTCAGAGAGAGAGAGAGAGATGTGAGGAATAAGGAGAGAAGAAGAGAGCGTTAGAGCTGAGAAGGAGCCCAGCAAGTCTTAGCTCTCTTGGCAACGGCTACTTTGACAATTAGACAAAGTTCATTTAATCACTCCCCATTTAAATGCCTATCAAATTCTATTTCTTTTCTTCTTGTACAAATGCTTTTTGTGTGTCCAGCCTCAACAGTTTTAAGACTTGACGTACTCCCTCTCTCCCTTAAAACTTTGACAAAGTTGACCGACACGAAAAATAATAAAGTAAAAACGGTGTGGTTGAGATTTGTGCAGAGGAAGAGAGAAATAACAGGAACCACAAAATAAATGATTAAAAGGAAAAGTGGTAAAGTTTTTTGGGACGTCCCAAAAAAGAAAGATGACAAGGTTTTAAAGGACGGAGGGAGTGTGATTTATACGACTGAGTCATGTTCTCTCCATCCATTATAATTTTGTCAATTATTTTTTGTTTAAAAACTTTTGTCACTTTTCATTTTAAAATAAGATTTTAATATTTCTCTATCATTTACGCAAATCATCAATTACACAATTTTTATTGTTCCACCTGATGATCAAACTTATCAAAATTATATGGAACATAGGGAGGATGAACTCATTTATTTTGAAATATGACGGTTTTTTATAAAATTGAATGGTGAACATGAAGTCACATAGGCTTACATTGCTCTTCAAAATTTCTCACACAGCATACCATATATTGATACATTTTTCTTTTAAGGAAAAGAAAATTATTAATAGAACTATATCAAACTTAAACTAGACGTATACAAGCGAAAGCAAGAATGTAATTATAAAAACACAACCAAGTGCTAAATAAGAATTAAATGTTGGGGATATAAAGTCGATCAAGAGCGGATCTAGCATTTGCATTGAGGTGGGGCCAAAATCTACATAACGTATATTGCAAAAAAAATGTCAAAATGACAAAATGTAGTTAAATAATATTACAGCAAAGTCAAACAAAAAAATATTACAGAATCGGCAAAATAATCATCCTAAAAGAGTCATAGATACTGAATCAAATTTGGCTAGGTTACTGGAATGTTCAGTACCAATTTTCAAGTTGATTTCTCGAAAATCAATTTCCTTTTGACTCCATAGTCTGTGCTCTATGTAAAAAAAGGTTAAATAGTAAACTAATTAAATTTCACCCATCAAGTACAATCAATTGAACTTGTTTATTTTTCAAATCAATATTCAAAAGTCCAATGAATTGAACTAATTAATTTTTCAGACTAATATTCATAATTTTAATTAATCGAACTACTTAAATTTTTAAGTCAATATTCAAAAGCCAAATGAATTGAATTAATCAATTTTTCAGGCCAATAACCAAAAGCCTAATAAATTGACCTAATTAGTTTTTCACGCTAATATTAAAAATTCCAATGATTTGAACTATTAATTTTTTAAAAGAAATAATCTCTCTCTTCTTCAAAAGGGCAAAGAAATTTTGGACTGAAAGATATAAAACATTAAACAATAGTCTTACAAAATTTGGATAGTGTTTTAAAAAAATGTGGTGTCCATGAGAATCGAACCCATCTCCTTTTGTTAGATGCTCAGCATACTTCCATCAGGCCAACGTTAATATTCTCCACTAGTCCGCATTAGCTGCTATTTTACAATAACTAATGAAACACTATATATTAATATATACATAATAAATAGTAGTAATTATATTTTTTTGAGCATGGGCCTAGGCTCTCCCTGGCCCTGGCCCAGATCCGCCCCTGAAGTCGATCTTTCTTAAGTTTTGGGCATATGGCCGTCCAAGAATTGATAAAGGATACTATGTTACGTTACTAAGACTATTATGCATGTGACATGCCCCGTTGAATCTTCCAAGAAATGACATTTTCTTCAAGCGGATATATGTAAAAACATTTACAATTTTTCACGCAAACACACATAACTTGCACTCCTCGCAAAGAAATTTTATGAAACTATGAACTCGTTTGTTTAATATACTAGCATAGATAACGACAAAGGTGAGGAGCATGATAATTACAATGAAGAGAGACAAAAACATGACTACTAACTTGAGAAGAAAACACAATCCATCACAACGAAAAAATAATGTACCACTTTGAAAATGTTAGATCCATGAATGCAGATGAAAGTACTTTGAAAAACATGTTGAAATCGTAGAAGAAAGAAAGCAAAGTGGGAAAGTCGTCATTGGCAATTGATAAATAAATCTACATTATTTATTGACATGGACTCAAATTAATTATAGTACTAACACACATTGACATTGCATCGTTTGAGTATAAAAGTGGTATTGATGTACAAGCACCAAAACTGTTGCACTATATATGGGAGAAGCCATTATTTTCATTCTTGTGTCTTCTATATAGTCCCTTGAAAGGGATATTTTGCCCTTCCATGTCATAATTTAGAGATAATCTTTGTACACAACATATAATCTAATGAATGAAAAACATTTTTCCTTTTTTTCTATTTTCAATTACAAGTTTAATAATATGTAGAAGGAACTTATCATGTGCCTATGTCCACCACCCCCATGCTCAAGGAACTATCAACATACAATATCATAGGCCTTCTGATGATTGGGCTTAGGAAACATCACTTTTCTAGTGTAACCAAGTCGTTGTGCAAGGCAAATGCTTCCCACCATTTCTCTAACATTGGCAAAGGCCCATGTGGTGCGTCAATGATGCCTCAAGATAAGGAGTGATCTAGCGAACAAGGTCTCGGTTATTTGATCTCGTGTCACCGGGGCAATGAGATAGGCAGCCAAAGATGGACCATGACTCTTTGCACTTTTAATCACCATGGTATCAATGGGAGTGAAATGTAAATAAGTGCCTTTGTGGTTTTTTTTACCCCAACGAAGAGGGACTACAATAAATGAGGCTGAAACTGCTTTCATTGAATTTCGAACCCAAGATAGGGCCTCTCTTATGGGAGGAGAGTGAAACGGAGATCAATGAGTTGGACCACATCCTTAAGTGACTTTGTGGTCTATTAACTTACTTTAGGGAAATTGCCTTAACTATAGGTAAACAAGTTTTGGAATTTCAAAATATGACTGCTATGTTTTTCTCTCTAAAATAGGAGTCGCTAGTTGTTACAATCATGATTGATATATAATGCCATTAATGACAATAAATATTTTTTTGTTAATGCCTAATACTGCAACTATTTTGACAGTAATCACTTCAAGATGGTAGTAAATACTGTCATGTTACTCCTATTTCAGAAAGAAAGACATAGCAAATCTATTTAGAATTTCAAAACCTGCTTACTCTTATTTTGAGAACATTCCATGTACTTTGTGTTTGTTACATTTTGTGATTTCCTTCCCTTTCAACTCAATGGCCTTTTTTGTGGATATGACATGCTTGATGGTCTTACTCTTATCTTAGCCTAGTTATCTTAGGGTATGTTTGGGAGTTGGGGGGATTTTGAAGGCTGGCCCTTAGAGGGAAAGGGAAGGGGAGGTGAATTTGATTTAGGAGTTATAAATTTGAAAAGAGAGGGACTACGGAAATTATAATTAAAATTGCTTAAAATATACGTAGCATATCGAATTCAAATAGTTGAATTTGTATTTGTTTTAAACTAAGCTAAAATTATCATTTAATTTGTATTTGTTTTAAACTATGCTAAACTTATCATTTAATTTGTTGGAACTTAAAAATTATGCATTTGAAGGATTTAATAGGGTTACAAAAACCCTCCAAAACCTTCCCCTCCAATTTTTAAATTTCCAAACGTGAAAGGGACGGTCATAAATACTCCTCAACCCCCCCCCCCCCCCCCCCCCCCCAATCTAACTCACAAACATACTAAATCCAAACTTTTTGTAGATGCAACACTTTGAACATTAATATGCAATGACTTATTTTATTGCAGAATAATATGTAACACTTTGAATGGTAATATGCAATATAAATAGTGTAAAGGTGCATCATACATATATTTGCACAATAAACATTGTTCTTGATACGCTCTCTAGTTTATTTGCATACGGTGATAAGCTAGACAAGAGTCTTAGCTCGGTGAGAGGTATCCCTTTGTCTGATAAGTGGCTACTCTTCATTTTAAACCCACTATAAAAAACTACAATAATATCCTTTTTCTGTGCGAAGTTTATATCTTGTGGATATATATATATATATATATATATATATATATATATATATAATATGTCGAGAGGTTAAGGTCAGTTTCATTTGTTCCTTTATGGCAATAATTTTAAGCGGAAGATGATTTAAATATTCCAAACTTTAAAGGGTGTTATATGCATATGTAATATGTACTCTAAATTTTATATAAAAAGTAATGCTAGTACCATGAAATTTACATTTGGTAAAGAAAAAATATATTGTTATGGTATATATATTATATATGAAAATCTAATGTAACATAACATTTAATGTAACATTCAGGTTTATATATTATATATGTAAATCTAGTGTGCTTTCTCAAGCGCCTTCATAGTTTGGGGTAAAGTTATTTTCCCCTAATTCTAATGAGTATATATATTGTGCTCATTAATGAGCACACAGAGTGATAAAATTAACATATTAAGTATATGTATTAAATAAGTACATTAAATTAATATAAATAAGTGATCATATATCGGAATAGTCAATGTGGAGAAGTCAGAACCAGTCTTTTATTTCCACATGAGCTGACATGCTTATTGGTGACCATGTTACATGCCCATTAAAATTGTGATATATTGATACTAAGGCATTGACACACTTCATGTTAATAAAAATATGTGTTAAGAAATTTTATATTTTTTCCAAATGATAATGTTTGAATATTGGGTTTAGACTAGAGGTACTACCGTACTAGTCGATTTCCGCAAATCTCTAAATGAAAATTATAAAGGTGATTTAATAAAGGAGTATTTTAAATGCGGAATGAATGAAGAAAATATGTGTATTATTCAAACTAGCCTTTACGAAGAGATATCTCAAAATATATATGGAGCTCGGTAACATGCTCACTATGAAACAAGTTGGTGTGACGAATGACTCAAATTCTCCCACATTTTCAGATGAGTGCATTAAAACATGTTTCGTCTGCGAACAATGTTTTCACAAACAAAAAAAATGTTTTCACAAACAAAAAAAATGTCTTAACAAACACGTGTAAAATCCCCTTTGTACACGTTTTTTATTCACGAAAATCACGACATGTTCCCCAACACTTCGCACTGCATCATGTGTGGTGCGGTGTATACAAGGGTTACATGTGAAGAACTATTGAAACAATGTATTACTTGCAATGATTGAAAATTGTTTTTTATTTCAAGTACCAAGGACTAAAATATAGACAAATGCATAAACATGATTGCTTATGTTTTATTGTTAAAATACAACTTATTTGAAGTTAACTACCTTATGCTCTGGTCATCAGAGCAGATTTTCCAAAGAGAAGATCACAGGTTCAAGTTGCATCACAATCAAGAACATTAGCATTATCATCAGCATATACTATAACAGGTTAAGAAGAATGTTTTTTAAAAAAAAACTTATTTGATCTTATTTAAAGTAAATTTCATGTTTACCTTCATCTTCTTGCCGATTTGACCAACATGCGGAGTATTTCTTTGTGAAAACTTTTATGTAATTGAAGACAACCCAAATCAACTTCGGTACGAAGCTGTTTTTACTTTATACCCATCAACTAAATAAAATTTAATAATATATTGACTCATTGTCAACGTTTTCATCCACTAATTGTATTATTCATGGTAAATATAAATTCTGAACAAAATTAACAGATAGCTGAACACCAGAATACGACATTTTATGAACACCACGTTTGTTCTACGCGGCAGAAGAAACAGAGAAATCAGAACGCAAAAAGTTATCTATTAAAAAAAGTATTACACAGCCAAGAAGAAAGAACTACGATTAAACCACATATTTGATACAAATCTATAGCTGCAAAAACATAAAGGAAAAAAACTACATGGTAACCTGAGAATATCTTGCTTCAGAGCATTTGCAGGTAAAAGATTCCAGGAAAAGATCTCTTTAACTCATTTATCTAGCTACTCAGTCAATCTTAACAGAAGAGAAAAGGTAATGGACGAAGTAGAATGATGTCACAAAACCGATAGAGCCAGTAGCAAGCATGATTGCAACTGCCATCAACAGAGAGTAGCCAAGATAGAGCGTGGCAGAGATGGGCCCACTCAGACTTTGCAAGTCAAACACAAGGTAATTGACAGAGTACAAGAACACATACAAAGCAACCGAACCGGATGCATAGAATGCTTTCCACCACCACATCCAGTCCTCAACACAAAGATGCATGTAAGTAAGGACAACAGAAACTTCTGCACAGACTACCACCAACAGGAGGAGAACGATGAGCAGAAACCCAAAGACATAATAGAACCGCCCAAACCAGATGCTCGAGAGGATAAAGAAAAGCTCGATGAAAAGGGTACCAAAAGGAAGAGTTCCAGCACCAAGAACAAGAAGCCATGATGGATATTTGCGAGATGGGATCTCTCTGGGAATCTGGTTAGTCCGTACAGGGAACTGGATAGGCTCAGCTCTTGTTCCAAGGTACCCTCCCAATAGAGTTAGAGGTACAGATATGCAAAACCATAGGGCTAAGAGTTCAAAATACAACGAAATGGGAATCGCACCGGTGCTCTTGCTTCCCCAAAGAATGAAATTTAGAACAGTGAGGATAACAAAAGTAATCCCTGGAAAGAAGCATGCGGTTGACCAAGAAACTGATCTCCACCCTTCTGAACTCCCCTTGATTGTTCTCCACAGTCTGACACTAACATAACCGGCTGCAATTCCCAAGAACAGATAAAGCAGAATCATCCCAGTCAGCAGCATGCCCCGAGATGCTGGGGACATGAAACCAAGGGCGGCAAAAACAATTGTCACTGCTCCCATCCCGGTAATCTGAACCCCATCTCCAATCATAACACAGAGCAGCTTCGAATGGTTTGGCTCTCTGAAGACATCACCGACCACAAGCTTCCAGCCAGAAAGTTCCTCGTTCATCTGTGCCTGAGCTTCTTTGTCCAATTCTTCATACCTCGTTAGATCCCTCCTGACTGTTCTCAAAAAGATTACAAAAACAATGCCAGCTAAGAAGACGATCACCATTACCGAATTGAGAATTGAGAACCAGTGGACCCGAGAACCTTCCATCTTCAGATAAGCATCCCATCGAGATGGCCATCTGATGTCGCTTTTCACAAACTCAACCTCATAAGTGAATGATATCCTCTCCTGCTCCCTGATGATCTGAGATTTGTCAAGATCCAATGGACAGCTTATAGAAGAAACACTGTCATACATATGGAGCTTTTCCATTTTGACAGGATCATACTTCACACTACAAGGGGTCACTTCAAAACCAACAATTTCATAACCAGAAGCCTTCTTATCTGAATTTGTTATAACACCCATACCTTCTTCTCCAGTGCCAATTATTTCTACACCAGCCCCCTCATACTCATGAATCAAAACCTTAAACTTGAGGTGGTTAATGATGTACTCTTGCTTAGTATTTTGTGATGTGAACCCAACTGGAAATCCTGTCCACTGAATCTTCATCCCGTTTTGGGTAGCATATCTCAGAGCAGGCAAGTTATCAAGAATCATGTTGACCTGATATAGGTCATGAGTCCTTTGTTTCAAAAGCTTTACCTGGTGGTCATTTAGTGGCGGTGTAGTGCAGAGGTAAAGTGACTCGTTAACGTTCATCAGGAAACGGTAGGGAGAGTTCTCAATTAGATCTCCCATCAACAACTCCCCAAGGTTCTCAGCACTTTTTTTAATCCCATTCGGAGGTGTGCAATAAGGAAGATCATAGTAGCTGAATGGAAGCTCAGTCTCAATTGAGGTCAATGAGTTCACTTTGACAAAGATTTCATCACCAGGTGAATATGTATGCATGTAGGTTCCAGGCAAATAAAACCCATGACATGCATGTGAAATGAGAATGAAATATGATAAAGCAGCCCAGTATATCCTCCGCAAGTTTAATGATGAGGCCATAGCTATGAGAAGGAGACAGACTCTTGACCCCCTGATAGATCTAAGCAACAAGTGGCAGAGCACAGACCATTAAATCTACAGAATCCATAATCAGAACCACTAGACAATAGTATGATTCAATATATAATCCACATATGCTAGATCTGAAGGAAAAAATTTGCAAATAAAAAAGTAAATAAATCCAGTGACCGAATAATCACTGTCAATGTAACCACCCTCCCCTTTTTTCACTACCAATTTCGACCTGAATTGAATATGTCCTATCGCAAATTCATGCACATATGACACGGACAAACCACAACATTTCTAGTATATGTGTCACTGTGACCATTAGGTCTTAAAAAATCAATTCTTAGCAAAGCACACTGTAAATACACTGGACATACTTGTCAGTGAGAGTGTCAAACATCAATCAAGATTTCAATAAAAAAGAAGCTAATCCACATCACCCTACAGCTAGAAACTTCAAGCATAACAAGATGTCAAGATGTAGCTGCGACCAAAACACAATAGGAATATCTTATAACGAGAGGCCCAGGCAAATGTATAATCGGATTCAAAACTAGAAGAAAATGAAGCAAAAAGTGTACGAAGGTAGAGAAATGCATTTTCTCATAACAAAAAACAAGACAAAATCGTATTTCCGGAACCACAAATCTACACACAGTTTATACTTTGAAGAACAAATATTCCACTAAAGTATAGACGTAAAGGATAATCTACATATATGTACTCAGAGGTACCAGAAATGCATAGCAACACGCAATTAATCAATAAACCTACTGAATTAAATGTACAATCGAGTGGGTCTACAAATTAGAGTACTTTCCGTACGATCGACGAATTTGCTTACCGGAAATGGATCTGGAATTAAAAAGTCTGAATTAGCGGCGAGATCGGGCCGGATAGGGCTTGGTAATTGCGATGGGGAAGATGCGTGCTCGAGAGAGAGAAGTAAACCAGAAGGCGAAAACAGAGGGGTCGCGGGTTTGCCCGATATTTCGGTTTAGCGGTGAAAGATACAACGGAAGCCCGGCAGCTTTGCGTTCACGTGGCCGGGAGTAATGGCCTTTTATTTTCTAGTCTAGCATATACGAGTGATAATTTATTTATATATTTATGACGATAAGGGGAAATACGGAGATGATCAAATAGGATAAAAATGAAGTATGGACTTAGGATAAGAGTTTTTCCCTTAATATTACTAAACTAAGCCTAATTTCTAAAAAATTAATCACATTTAAATTTAGACAAAAATGTGATTAATGCAGTGACATTTCCGTAGTGACATCCCCGCACCTTGTTTCCACAGTGAAATCTCCGTCATCACCGGCCAAAGTGACGCTTCCACAGTGACACCACCGTCGACCATGGTGACACCACCACCAATCACAGTGACACACCACCGACCACAGTGACACCGCTGACGGTCACCGTGACACCTCCGACAATCACAGTGACACTGTCGCTGGCACCGCTCGAATACCATACTGCCGCCGGCCACAGTGACACCATCGCCGGTCACAGTGACACCACTGCCGGTTACAGTGACACCTCCGGCGACCATTGTGACCCCACCATCGGCACCGCCCGAAGACCACCACCGCACCGCTTCTTCCCGTTATTGCCGCCTAGCCCCCTCCCCTAGCCCCTGCACCCCCAACCCCCAACCCCTCTCATGCCCCCTGCCCTGCACCCCCCAGCCCCTCCCCTGCTCCCCAAGCCCCCTCCCCCTCTTCTGCCCTCTTCCCTGCACCCCAACCCCCCCCCCCCCCCCACAACTTCAAAGTTTAATCCAATTCACAATTTTAGATCTAATCAAACTCAAATTACAGACCAAGTGTCAAACTTTATAGAAGAAACCAGTAACTAATCGCACAGCGAGGTGCGTCGAAGATTTTCCCATTCATAAACATTGATTTTTAATTTCCAAAATCAAAATTACTTTAATACTAAATTGCCGAACAACTCCATGATTCAAAATCGATCGCCGAGTTCATTCTAATCTAATTTTTATATACGATTAAAATAGATTTTATGAATAAAAAATTAGATGACTTTGAAAATAAAAATAGGGTAAAGAGGCGGAATTGCCACGACCATGACCCTAGCAGCCGGCGGAGGTGACGCGGAAGCAGCCGGCGGAGGTAGTGGCAGCCGGTGGAGAGAAGAGGTGGAGCGGCCGTCCTTGCTAGTTGCGGAGGCGAGACGGATGTGCTACTGAGAGGTGGGGAGATGAACAGCTGGGATATGGAGGATTGGGACGAAAACATGGAGACAAATGTGCTTTGGAGATGGAAATCTGGGCGGCCGAACAAAGTTATCAGACTCCAACTCAGTTTTGTGTCTTTCCCTATATTAATCACATTTTTGTCCAATGAAACCTTGCAAGTAATATTTAGGGCATTGTTTCCTTAGGATAATCAAATAGGATAAAAATGTGAACATATTATTTTAAATGGGAGCAAATATTAGATTAAATAAGAGTAATAGGTGTAAATTTCAATATAACCATAGCAAACCTTCACCTTCATCGTTTTCATCCGCTCCTTGACCACCACCGCTCATCGTGCTTGATGTTTCCACACGTCATATCAATCATCCTCGCCCCTCGAGCATATTCGAATCATCAGAGTCATACGCTACATTGAAAACATCTAGAGAAAGATGGATTACAGGGAAAAAGATCGAATCTAATGAAAAGCTGTCGACGAGTAAAATTCAGATGTAACATAAGTGTTTCCTATTTAGGTATTAAAGCATTTGATAGACTTAGGTAATAAACCCTTCATCTCTGTCGTCGTTGTTCATCACCTTGGCCGCAACCGTTCATCGCCTGTTTGCCCATGTCACCTCAATCGTCCTCGCCCCTTGAGCAGATTCAAATCATCATAGTCGTACTCTATATTAAAAATTGTTAGAGAAGTATGGATAATAGGAAAAAAGATTAAATCTGATGAAAAGCGGTTGACGAGTAAAAATCAAATTTAACATCAATGCTTACCTAGGTATTAAAGCACCTGATAGGTTTAGATAATAAACCCTTCATCTTCACCGTCATTGTTCATCACCTCTGCCACCACCGTTCATTGCACTTGATGTCGCTACCTATCACTTTAGTTGTCGTTGATCATCGAGCTGGTGTCCGTTATTTGAGATGTACACTACATAGGGAATAGCTAGAGAGAGATGGTTTACGAAGACAAAATGCGGATCTAACAAAGAGTTGGGTTATGAGTAAAGACCGAGCATAGTAAAAGACTTCTGATTTGGATATTAAAACATGTGTACTGCTATTTTACTCCCTTTGTCCCCTTTTGTGACGTCTCAAAAAACTTTGTCAATTTCCCTTTAATCAATTATTTTGCGGTTTCTATTATTTTTTCTCTTCTGCACAAACCTCCACCACACGACTTTTACTTTATTATTCTTTGTGACGGTCAAACTTGACAAAATTTTAAGGGACCGAAGTAGTAGTATTTATGTTATCTTTTATTCTTGACAATTCAAATTGTTTGTTTGGGTGCTACATTTTTATGGAAATGTTAAAGGATGTGAATATACTAGGGAGCTACATCTATGTGGTGTAACAATGATATGACTACTTTTATCAAATCACCCAATCAACCCAAGCTATAAAACCAGCCACTACCGCTTTTTAGCCGTCCACATACCAATTATCCCGTTAGTGGCTGATGTGTATACCCATGGTACGTTTGGTTCAAGATAATATTGTTGGTCCAAAATAGGACGCTCGTAGGCTTTTAAGAAAGCTACGTACGACACTCAAGCAGGAATTAGGAAAGTACGAATATGGAAAGTTAGCCAGAAATAGCATATTTGTATTTGAAATTCGAATTGCCTTTTATAGGCGATTACAAATGGTAACTGCCGAACATAATAATGACTAAATTAATTACAACATTAATACAGAATTAAACACATAATTAAGTCGCGCATTAATTGTTGGCCGTTACTCTTCCTGGCTGGCAGGTCAGCCTGGCTGGCAGGCTGGACGCTTGAGCTCCCTCCTGCTGGACTGGACGGTGGGCTTCCCGCTAGGCTGGAGGAAGGCTTCTGACCGGGCTGGAGACAGGCTCCCGGGTAGGCTGGAAGGTAGGCTCCCCGTTGGGCTGGAGGCAGGCTCCCACCTGGGCTGGACCGCAGGCTCCCAGTTGGGCTGGATCGCAGGCTCCCAGCGGGGCTGGTGGTCGGTAGGCTCCTGGCTAGGCGGGAAGGCAAGCTCCCCACTGGGCTGGAAGGCAGGCTCCCCACTGGGCTGTAAGGCAGGCTCCCCACTGGTCGATAGGCTCTCTTGGGCTTCCGCTCCTTGATTGCCCTGATTGGTTGGGCCGACTCGAGCTCTAGGTTGCTGGGCTTGGGCCCGCTGGTCCATGTTCGGGGCCTGGGCCGATTAGGCTCTGGGCCTGGTCCCATAACCCCATCACGAGTCCCCCACTCCCTTAGTCGAGTAGTAGACTCGGCTAAGAGGGAGCAGTTTAAGTCAGCTGCCGATTTAAAAATATTCACATATCAAGGAACCATAATTGCGGATTATGTGAATCCCGGAGTTTATGGAAATTCCCAAATTAAATCAGGCTCCCAAAAAAGGCTCCAAATAAATTCGTTCAGCATCCTAGCACTCCAACCGCAAGCTTTCTCCCAGACTTCAGGATCCAGGTCAGCTTCAAAAAATCCCTGAAATTTATTATTATTATTTCATAAATGATTTCCGGACTTTATTTTATTTTTCCTTCCTTTTTTTCCCTTTCTTTTCTTTCCTTTTTTTTTCTTTCCTTCTTTTTTCTTTCCTTTTCTTTTCTTTCCTTTTCTTTTTCTTTCCTTTCTTTTTCCTCTCTCTCCTGGAACCCTGCGTGCGTGCGTCTTCTCCGAGCCGCCCAAGCGCCGCAGTCCTCCTGCCGAATGGGCAGACCTCCGTCCGCCGCCCGGCGGCTCCACTTGGTTGTCCTGCCGTGCCAGGCGGCCTTCCCGTGCTAAGCGCTGATGGACGGCGTTGCCCTGGAGTCCGGCGAATCTGGCGGGCCGGCCGGCCTGGGCTTCCATGTTGGCCGGCGCAATCTGGCAGTCGTTCTACTTCTGGCCGGCATGGTGTCCTTCTAGCGGTGAAGGTTTCCACGACGACGGCGTCCAAGGAGGCAACATCCGAGGTTTGCTGTGCGGTTCCCAGTCCGGCGGCCACTCCGGGTAGCGACAGGTTCCGAGGATGGATGTGCAGCCCCAGGTCGGATGTGGCTTGCAATTGCGCCTCTCTCTGTTCGGGCGGGCCTCCATAATCCGGCGTCCCGACAAGTCGGTGGACCGTTTCCAAGTTGGGGGTGAATCTGTGTCAAACCCCCCCAGGTTGAGAGCCTTACGAACGGCGGCAGCAGCTGAGCAATATGGCCCTTGTCGGACTCAGGGCCCTGGTGGCCTAGACGACGGCATTCCCAAGTTAGCATGAGCCTTAATTACATGAATCAATAGTTTGAGATCCAGGTTGGCGTAGCGACACCCCTCCATATCTGATGATCAACCTGATGGCAGGCTTCCTAGAGCGAGTGAGATCCCTTAGACCAAGTTGCAGGTCCATCCAAAGTTGGTGAGCAATCTATAAGGCCAAACCGTCTTATACGTGTGTCAGCTTTATCACGCAAGGGCCCCCTATTTCGAGTGCTGGTGAATAGGCCTCATTCGCTCAATGAAACAGACAGAGTGTTAAATTTCCCCTAGCAATGTTGGATGACCATGCTCCAGAGGCGGGCATCCTGGACTCAACTAAGCAACCCATGTCAGTCACCATTGGGAAGGCAAGTAAGTTGGGCGTACGTCCCCTGCAGCCCTGCTAGAGTTCGTGCAAGCAAAGGTCAATACTGAGGCTTAGTGCAGGGGCCCCTAGGCTGTGTGCATGCATTTAGTGTACATGAGCCCCATTTTTCTTGAGTTCGTGACAACACATTTTCTTGTTTTTGCAGGTTTCCTTCAAGGCTGGGGGCGCATCTTGGACTCCTCATTGCTTCCAGGAGAAGCTCTTTCACGATTTTGACAAGGCGAAGGTCACAGTGACAAGCAGTAAGGCACTTGCAGAGTTTCAGGCCGCGACTACGTTTTCACACGTGCTTGAAGAATTGTGATGATGAGAAAGATATGGTTCCATTAAACTTGGCGACCACCCAACGGTATGAGAACAACCATGGATGGGATGGCACCGGAGTCCGGATTCCAAGGGAGCTGTTTGAGGTTCCAAGCAAATCCCATGATTAGACTATTGGACATGATGGTGCTGGGTCCGCTTGGCTACGACCTTGTATTTTGTATTTCCTTTGTTTCCCACTTGAATATTCTGTGTTTCGAATGGATGTTTGATTTTTATTTCATACGCCTCCTTTTCTATACTTTGCATTACGAATACTTAGCAATTTATTCGGGGATCTGGCTTCTCTAACCTCCCGAGGGGCGGTTAGGCTGGCGTGGCCGAGCCTATCCGTGCCCCTCCTAGTTGGGTAGAAGTGATCTGTTCGCTATTGATATGAAATCAACAAGTAAGCGACTTGTTTGGCCAACAAGGTATCCTGAACGTTCATGACCCGGGGGTCAGTCCTACTGTCACTTTAACCCGTCCAGTTTGCCCGGACTTGGGGAATAATCTAGTTACTCCCGCATGGATAGCCAAACAACAGGGGCGGACCCTGCATGATCCACCAGAACGAACCCGCACCGCCAACTCAGGGATGACGAGAGTGTGAGCTGCTTGGCCAGCGATGTTAGGCGGCGAGCACTCGAAAGGACCCGGAGGTCAGCATCCTGAGTACCCTCGACCCGGAGGCCGGCCCTACCGTCGCGTCGACTGTCGCGGCTAGCTCTTTACTTTAGAAAATTGCTCGGATTCTTGAAAATCGCCTGGCTATTTTCGGTTAAAGAGCCTGGCCGAGGTCGGCCAAACACCGAGGGGGGGCATAGTACCTTTTTTTTTTGCCGCCGCCCTTTATTGCTAAGTGAGGTCGGACCTCTTTTGATGACAAAATATCGCTAGCAAAGTATATTGAATTCATGATGTGGGCGGACCACATGAAGAATTACAAATTGTAATCCCGTGCTCGGAGCACAGGAGTTTACAAAGAAAAGTGAAACTTCGATTTTCTACTGGTAAAACTTCATCAGGTGCTCGGCATTCCAGACGCGGTCTACCAACCGGCCTGTTGTTGTCTTCAACTTGTATGTCCCAGGGCCGATCACTGCGTCCACCACGTAAGGGCCTTCCCACTTGACGGAGAGCTTACCTCCCTCTGTCGGCCTGCTGGCCTTCCTACGTCTTAGGACATAATCACCGACGTCAAATCTCCGGGGTCGGGCTCGGCTGTCTTGGTACGCCTTGACTTGTCGTCGATAGTTTTTCGCTTTGATGAAGGCACAGTCTCTTCTTTCCTCAATGAGGTGGAGCTCGGCTCGGAGCCTCTCCTCATTGCTGGTTGGTTCAAACTCTTCCACTCGCCGGCTGGGAACTACACCAATGTTGGTCCAAAATAGGACGCTCATAGGCTTTTAGGAAAGCTACGTACGACACTCAAGCAGGAATTAGGAAAGTACGAATATGGAAAGTTAGCCAGAAATAGCATATCTGTATTTGAAATTCGAATTGCCTTTTATAGGCGATTACAAATGGTAACTGCCGAACATAATAATGACTAAATTAATAACAACATTAATACAGAATTAAACACATAATTAAGTCGCGCATTAATTGTTGGCCGTTACTCTTCCTGGCTGGCAGGTCAGCCTGGCTGGCAGGCTGGACGCTTGAGCTCCCTCCTGCTGGACTGGACGGTGGGCTTCCCGCTAGGCTGGAGGAAGGCTTCTGACCGGGCTGGAGGCAGGCTCCCGGGTAGGCTGGAAGGCAGGCTCCCGGGTAGGCTGGAAGGCAGGCTCCCCGTTGGGCTGGAGGCAGGCTCCCACCTAGGCTGGACCGCAGGCTCCCAGTTGGGCTGGATCGCAGGCTCCCAGCGGGGCTGGTGGTCGGTAGGCTCCTGGCTAGGCTGGAAGGCAGGCTCCCCACTAGGTTGGAAGGCAGGCTCCCCACTGGACTGGAAGGCAGGCTCCCCGTTGGGCTGGTCGACGGACTCTCTTGGGCTTCCGCTCCTTGATTGCCCTGATTGGTTGGGCCGACTCGAGCTCTAGGTTGCTGGGCTTGGGCCCGCTGGTCCAAGTTCGGGGCCTGGGCCGATTAGGCTCTGGGCCTGGTCCCATAACCCCATC